AGAGGTCTTATTCTTGGCCAGTGGGATTGACACACCACCAGTTGGGGACCAAGTGATCAATACAGGCACCTACTGGGGACATTTGTCATCTAAGCTACCACACTCCCCTAAGCCACTGCTCATCCGTGTTTTTCTCACAGCCACACAGTGTGGAAGCTTAGACGCTGCCTTTGGAACTCTGTATAGAGACTTTCCTCTCATGAAAATCCATCCGGTCACCCGGCTTTTTGGTTCCTTGACCCCTTTCAATCCTCCAAAGTCTAGTCTCGCTCTCAAATGCTCCGTCCCCACCTCTTCCAAACTTGTTCACCTGAATGACACTTCTTCAATGACTACCCCTCCCCAAGTCCCACCCTACCTCTAGACGAGGGAGGTCACCACCTGCTTCCATCTCCGTTTCCTTCTCCTTTCCCAGTTCAGAATTGCAATAACTTTTATTTTTATATGCTCCCAACTCCCACTTCTTCCCTTCCTCCCCCTGTATTGAAGTAATTCCGCCCACAGACCAAACCATCTTTCCAAGTTCATCTGTGATGGCTAATTTCATGTGTCAGCTTCACTGAGCCCCGGGAGGCCCAGACAGCTGGCTAAACACGATTTCTGGGTGTGTCTGGAAGGGAGTTTCCAGAGGAGATTAGCGCTTGAATTGGTGGCTGAGCAAATGACTGGTACTCCGGAGTGGTCCACCCAGTCTGTGGAGGGTCTGCTCAGAGCAGAAAGCGAGGACAAGTTGAGGTCACTCTGCCTGGCTGAGCAGGATCACTGGCATACTGCCTTGAGAGCTCTTGAGACTCAGACCTGAAGCCCAGCTGCTGTCGGGATCCCAGTTCTCTGGACTTCAGACCTTTGACGGATCCTGCTGCCTTTCCTTAGCCTACAGCTTGGAGACAACAACTTGCAAGATTTCTCAGTCTTTGTAACTAGATGAAGTCACAATGTACATATTTCCAGTTGCATACATATACACATAAATACATATACATATACATACATATATACAGTTGCAAACATATACTCTTCTGTTTGTGTGGGCAGCACTAACACTCTGTAGCTGAAACAGTTGAAGGTTGATGGAGAAACACAAACATGATGGTTTGCTTTCCTTTTTCCCCTCCCTCCTTTCTCTCTCTCTCTCTCTTTCTCTCTCTCTAACAGGATCAGAGTCTGACTATGAAGCCCAGGCTGTCTTTGAAATTACAATTCTCTTGCCTCGGTCTCCAGAATGCTAGGATTACAGGGGTGAGTTACCACACCCAATCAGACTACTAGATATTGTGAGATAGGGTTGTGCTGTGGTGCTCAAGCTGGCCCGAAACTTCTCGGTTTGAGCAACCCTCCTCCCCAAGCCTCCCCTGTAGCTGGGCCACGCCAGGCTCCAGCCCTCACTTCAAGTTCATGGCCACAGTCTTCAGAAGCTTGATAGCCCCTCCACACATCATCTCATGTATCCCTAGTGAATTCACCTCTCATGGTATCCTGCACCCACAAACCCGTCTTAAAACTCTCCTTGTTTAAATCTTTGCACCCAGTACCCACTTACATCAGCACGAAAGTCCAATTCAAAACAGAATGTACTCAGTGCTCTCTCCCAACTCCTCATATTCCATTCAGATTTTGGGCCATATCCTTATTTATTTATTAATTTTTTGGTTTTTTTCCAGACAGGGTTTCTCTGTAGCTTTGGAGCCTGTCCTGGAACTAGCTTTTGTAGACCAGGCTGGTGAACTCACATAGATGCGCCTGCCTCTGCCTCCCAAGTGCTGGGATTAAAGGCATGCGCCACCACCGCCCGGCCTTTTTTTTTTTTTTAAAGATTTATTATTTACATCTATCTGCATGTATGCCTGCAGGCCAGGAGAGGGCACCAGATCTCATGTTAGATGGTTGTGAGTCACCATGTAGTTGCTGGTAATTGAACTCAGGACCTCTGGAAGAGCAGTCAGTGTTCTTAACCTCTGAGCCTGGACGGTATCTTTGATCCCTTGCTTGTCTCCTCACCAGTTACCAAAACAGCCTTTTAAAGATGAAAGACATGTGCACACAAAACCATAAACACCTCATGCAGCCCTCATGCAGAGGTTAGGGTATGTGTGCATGTGTGTGATGTGTGGTACATGTATGGTACAAGTGCACATGTGGATAGGTGTGCCTGCCCCAACGTGGAGTCAAGAGAAAGGTATCAGATGTCTTCCTTGATTGCTCTTTGCTTTACTTCCTTGAGACAGGGTTTCTTGCTAAACCTATATATAGCTCACTGCTTTGGCGAGGCTGATTAGCCAGGGAGTTCCCAGGATCCACCTGCCTGGCCCAATTCCCCCTCACCCAATCCCCAGGATTACAGACACATGTGACCATGCGTTTTGTATTTTGTTAATGGGGGGGGGCATGATTTGGAGCCAGGAGCTTCTGCTTTAGCAGCAAGGGCTCTTACACACAGAGCTGCCTCCACAGTCCCCAGCGGTGTAACCAATCTTGTTGCCTCATCTCAATCACTGTCACCCCATCAGCAGGGCTGTCTGCCTATCTGAGATGTGACTCTGATCATATCACTACATTAAAGTCTTCTCTGGGCTGCCCAGAACTCGAAGGACGCCTTGTAGACTATGAACTCTCTCTATCAACTAGACCCAATTAAATCGCTGCCTCTTTCTCTCTCACTTGGTTGGTTTGGTGGGTCAGCGTTGACACCAGAACTTCAATTGGGCCTGTAGGTAAGCCTGTGGGAACATTATTTTTAATTGGCAACTGATGTGGAAGAGCCCAGCCCACTGTGGGTGGGGCCACCCCTGAGCAGGTGGTCCTGGGGTGTATAAGAAAGCAACCTGAGCAAGTAGGCAGTCAGTAGGCAGCATCCCGCCACAGCCTCTGCATCAGTTTCTGCCTCCAGGGCCCTACTCTGACTTTCCTGGATCATGGGCAATAAACTGTAAGATGAAATCAACCTTTTTCCTTTTCCAGTTGCTTTTGGTCATGGGTTTTTAGTTAATTCCAGATGTAGTCAGGCTGACAACCAAGAATGCCAGCACGGTCTTCAAACTCTGGCTCAGAAATATTCTTTGCTGCAAATTCTTGGTTATAAATTTTGGAAATGGTAAAGGTCTTTTCATCAACCTCGTGTGATTTATTTGAGTTATCTTGGTATGTACTTAGACAAGGGTCCCTGATGGCCCTTCTATCTAGCAGTAGAATTCTTCCTCCTAGCGTTCATTTGGCTCATATTATCTATTCACTATCAAAGTGTTTCTTGAGCCCATCTTTACAGGTTTGATTCTGTACCCACTGATGGCAGGGAATGGCTTCATCTCTGTGTTACTTCCCTCCCAAACTCTTGGGCACAGTTGAAGCTCAATTTAAAAAAAATATGGAGCTTAAGAAATGAAATTTGTTTCTTGGAGAAGGTAAACATTTCATTTCTCCCTGTTACCAAAAAGCCAGTGTCACTAGACTCCCAGCTAAGTTCTGTCACCATGATCTTAAGCAACAGTTCACAAGAAGGAGAAATTGCTGTCACCTATGAGACACTGTTTTGGGGAACAGGAAGTAAAAGGAAATGATTTACTTTTTTTTTTTTAAGAACTACTCTATTTCCTATTTTCTCAGTCTGCTGAAAAACATTTTGTTTGGGGAAGATCTACACCCACATCAAAGAGGACATTTCTATACGGACACAAGCAACCTTCGGATCCCCTCAAATACACACAGTAACATCTTTTCCACACAAGCTTTTTTATCCCCACCCACCCACATACACACACTTCTCATTTCTCTCTGCAGCAGCCCTCAGCTATCCTCATAGCGTTTGATCCCTGCCTGCATCTTGCCTCATTAAAAAAAAATACTGTTAACCTTGATTCTTTTCGGTATAATAACGATTAGAGACAATCATTGTTATGCCTAAGAGAATCAATGCAAAAAGATCATTTTGCATACTGTCTGGACTCTGTTTTCCCCAGTTGTCTTCCAAATAACCTTGACTGCACCCACTGTCCTGACCAAGAATCCTGTCAAATCCCGCACAAGGTTCTGGCTTCTTCGTTTCCCCACACCCTTCTTGACTGGGAAAACCCAGCCCCATTTATCTACACAATGCCCACTTCCAGGATTCCTCTGCATCCCAATTTGCCTTTTATTGCTGTGATAAAACACAGAACAGAACAGCTTGGGGCAGGAAAAGGTTGACCGGCTTACACTTCCAAGTCGCATTCCCTCATTGTGGGAAGCTGGGCAGGAGCTCAAGCAGGAACCTGGAGGCAGTAGTTACAGCAGAGACCATGGAGAAGCGCTGCTCACTGGCTTCTCCTAGGCTCATGTTCAGCTGTCATTCTACAGTCCAGTTCAACCTGCCCAGGATGGCACTGTCCCAGAGTGGGCTGGGTCCTCCTCTGCCAACTAGCAAACAAGAAAAAGCCCCACAGACAAGGCCACGTGCCAATCTGATGGAGGTAGTTCTTCGGCGAGGTTTCTCTCATCCCAGGTGTCTCTAGTTTGAACCAAGTTAGCAAAAAAACTAACTGATGTGGGATTTCCCTTTGTATGCTGTAACTACCGTTGGTTAATAAAGAAACTGTCTTGATCCTGTGATGGGGTAGAGGAGAGCTAGGCAGGGAAAACTAAACTGAATATTGGAAGAAAGGAGGTAGAGTCAGAGAAAAGCCATGAAAATTTGCCGGTAGGCCATGAGCCTCATGGTCAAATATAAAATAATGGAAGTGGGTTAAATTAAGATGTAAAAGCTAGCCAATAAGAAGTTAGAACTAATAGGCTGAGCAGTGATTTAATTAATACAGTTTCTGTGTGGTTATTTCGGGAGTCTGGGTGGCCAGGAAACGAAGAAGCGGCCTCCTGCTACAATTAACTCGCACATTCTCATCGATTCCATCAGGATTTGATGTAGGAAAATGTTTCCAGGGTATTTTGTCCTGAGGTGCCCTTCCCCTGGCATCTTCAGATCAGGAGCTTAAGAGTCAGCTTGTCCATGCTGGTAATGTCAACACGACAGGATGCAGACCCAGTGGATGCTGGCAGCTTTCCTCAATGTAAAAGCCACATTGCCTTTGGAATTCACAAGTAACTTGTGAGGTTGTCGGAATATCCTTTGCCTCTGTAGGGTTGTTCTCAGTGGGTTATGTGATTCACTAATTATCACCGTCTGAATCAGTGGTTCTCAAACTTCCAAATGCTGTGACCCTCTAATGCAGTTCTTCATGTTGTGGTGACCCCCCAACCATAGAATTATCTCATTGCTACTTTATAACTGTAATTTCATTACTGTTATGAATTGTAATGTAAATATCTGATATGCAGGATATCTGATATAAGACCCTTGGGAAAGGGTAATATGATCTCCAAGGGAGTCCAGACCCACAGGTTGAGAACTACTGGTCTAAATAAATTATTACACAGAGTTACAAAATGCTATAAAATTTAGTCTATGTATTTAATCTACTACTAGAACCAGTTCTTTCCCTACCCTTTGAGAATCACTCTAAATCATGATTTAAAAACAAAAAAGCATATATTTTTTCAACATAATGCTTATTGATCCTTTGGGAATTTCACACCATGCATTCCAATCACATTCAGTCCTTCGATGTCTACCCCCACACTGAAGACCCCCTGAAAGAAGATAATTTAAAAAAGAAACCCACATCCAAATTGAATTATCTATAGACTCACTGGATCATGGTCAAACTCTCAGTGGCCTGCCTCTTACAGAAAACCGGGTCCTTCCCTGCTCACTCTCTCGCCAGAAGTCACCAACTGTAGAGAGCTACAGTTCAGCATCCTTGCCACAACTTCTAAGGGTTCTCTCCAGGAGCTTCCAGAAACCACATGGAAGCCTGTGACCCACACTCCCACTGACTGTAAAGAGCAAGGGAGCTACTTTAGCCATGATCATGGATGAGTGCAGATACACAGTTGAGAAAGAGGGACATGAAAGGTTTCTATGACGAGCTTTACCCCCAGTCTAACCCCGTGCCCTAAAATCAGAGTATTGTAGTCATTAACCGCGATTCTTTTTTCATCCTCAAAACTTCCCATCTCGGGTCAGTGAGATCCCTTTCAACCTGGGTTCTGTATCCTTGATAAGAGTTATTATGGTGTCTCTGAGGATGCCTTTACTTTCTGGCATACAAGATGCTCCCAATTAGACATAGTATCATCTCTAAAGCATTTTGCTTCTCTTTGGTAGCCAGTAATATTCAGAACCCAAACCCGGTCGATTCCTAAGTGAGTTCATTCCTGGATTTACTATGGATTCTAGGCTCTCACAGCAGACAAAGGATGTTAGTCTTCCACCCTTTACTCCTTTCAAATCCTACCCATAGGGTGCTGCACAATCCCTCAGTCCTTGCCATAGGCTTCTGCTAGAAACCTTCATCAGTTCAAAGTTAAAGAATCATCAAGGCACTGAGTTTTGGGCCTCTCTGTAAAGGCCAAACTTCTTACTGGAAGCGACATGAGGAGGAAGCAGGGTTCAGTTCCCTTGTGAGCCTGCTAGAATGCACCCAGACTACAAGGTATTCCCAATAGATCTTCAAGGATAGGCAGACTTTTACTAATCATAGAGATGATGTCTCCAAAGAGAGATAGTTGCCTAATTAGGCATTATCCAAACACACACTGTGACCTGGTTCATAAGAGGCCTACTGTGGATTTCCTCCCAATGACTTCTGGACTGTCTTCACCAGAGAGCTAGTTCAGGACAGGGTAGCCTTTGCAGCTCTGGTCATGAGGATGACCTGCTTCCAGCACAGAGTTACTGAGCCTATTATGTTTGGGGAAACCTCCTAGTTCTTGCCTACAAGTTGCGTGCTCTGTGGAGCACTGTAGCTAAGCTGAGCTCAGCTAAGACAGGGTTCTCCTTCTGACCCTTCCTGCTGCAGCAGCTCCAGTCCCCACTGGCTGTGATGGGCTCCATCCTTCCTGCAGCAGTCGGGGAGACTGTTTTCTCTTTTGTTAAGTCAAGGAGAACAGTCTCAGAGAGACTGTGGCAGCGAGAAGTCACAGAGCTACTGCGCTCTGTGTAGCCCGAGATGCCTAAGTTTTCAAGGTACATTCCATTTCTAGGATGGCTCAAATGTGATGGAGGCTTCTCATTTTTTGACAGATCAATAAGCAGAAAGAAGGACTAGAAACAAGCCCAGGCTACAACTTTCAAAGACCCACCACGAGTGATTTCCACGGGTGAAACTCCACCTCCTAAGTGCTCCAAGACCTTTAAAGCAGTGCCTAAGGCTAGGGACTGAGTGTCCAAAATGTTAGTCTACCAGACAGTTCAGAGTTGAGCCGTGACATTCTGGTCCTGGATCCCGAAGATTCACACCCATTTCACAAAACAAATTTCAAAAAGCAGAGCAGAAGGGTTGGCAAGGCAAGGCACAGGAATCCACGTAAGGCTGTGAAGAAAAAAAACACATATGAATAAAGGAGCTGTAATTGTTGACAAGGTTAGTGGCATTGAAGAGAAGCCCTTCTTTTGGCACTGGGTTAATGGGTAAAGTGCCTTATGGGAAAGCTGGTCCCATCAATCCTTCCTCAACTAGGGTTGGGGCCTTGGAAGCCCCTTACTATTCCTTGCTGGCCTTTCTTAATTGCTTGATCTTGACACTCATCTCAACCACACAGAGCAGGGTGTGCTAACCAGGATGCTGAATGGGACCACTGGGATAGACTTTTCTAAACAAGGAACACTTCCATCCACTCACTGGCGTTTCCTTTTTTCCTGGACAGCATGGGTAGGGGAGAAGAGTCCTCTAAGTAGGTTCGATGCCAATGGTTAGCATAAGTTGCCCAGGAGAAGCCAGCTGCCCACTATCAGAGAACTTGAGAGTCAGTGAGAAACTGGTTGACAGACGGAACCGCTGAGGCTGTGGGGTTCTGGCTTCAAGGGCATCTTATCCTCCTTGAGAAAGGAGAGAGGCCTTTAGGACCATATCTAGGTAACTGAGTGAATCCATGAGGCCATTTTAGGGAACAGGTTTGCTCTGTGCAGTGGAATGTCCCATTTAGAGAAGAATAGACAGGAGTGAGGGTACAAGTGGGGTCCTGCGGCGTTATGATAGAGTAAAAAGTCTGTGCTCTGCCTTCCTTCTCTGCACCAGCATCTGGCATCGGCATCTCTGTCTCCTGGAAGTTCCTGAGTGCTGAAAGTGAGCACTCAGCTCTGTGTTCATAGGAAATCTTCACATCTATCTATGCCTGGGATTATGCTAATGAAGGGATGTCATAGGCCCCTAGAGAACAGTACAGCTCTGTATTCATAGGAAATCTTCACGCCTATCTCTACCTGAGATTATGCTAGTGAAGTGACTTCATGGGCCCCTACATAGCCTCAGGGTAGGGGCTGGTAGCCAGAGGAACCAATCATATGACTGGAATGAAGGACCCTGTGTGCCACACTAAGACCTCTGGAGAAAACAAGGTGATGGAGATTGGGTTACTCATCAATAGCCAATGGCTACTGCACACACGTCTACTTCTGAAACCTCAATAAGAACCTCTAAAAGAGGTACAGGGAGGTTTGTGGTTGATGAACAAATGTTATTTTGTGCCAAGATGATGGTACACACCAACTCCCCAATGGAACAAGAAGCTCCTGCTTAGGGCAACTTGGGGCCTTGCCCTCTGAACTTCAGTTGTTCCCCTTATAATGTCCTGTACAATAAACTGGTAGCAGTAACTGAAATGGGTTCCAGTTCTGAGAGTCATCCCAGCCTCTTGTCAAACCAGGGGGTGGGCTGTGGGAATCCATGGTTTACAGGTGGCAAGTCAGAAGAAAGACAGGCCAATTGCATTAGCCAATAAAACGGAGTCTTACAGACTGTGCGGCCAAGCCAGGGACATTAGTGCTAGGCCCGGGATAAGCGTCAGCAGTCTCATATTGACACTGGTATGAGAAACCCAGATTCTGACATCAGAAGTGCTGTGAGCAGTACATTTTGGTGGCCTGAGAGAGAAAGAATCAATATTTAGCAAAATGACCCACAAGGCCAAGAACCATGAGCAGGGTAGAATCTTAATACTAATGCTTTAGTGGTACAGAAAGCTTGGGTCTTGCACGGTTCTAGCCCTTTGGTTAGCACTGGTTGTGCATTTATTCTTGGCTTGTGGTGACACACATCACAGGGAAAGCGCGGCTCTGCAGTCACCAGACAGGTGACAACCAAGCGCACGCACACTCTAAAGGCTTGTTCGCAGGATGCGGCTTTCATAGCTCTGCCGTGATGAGCCTCGAATCTAACTTTAGCACACAGAATACCCCAGGAGACTGGAGACCTGGATTTGGAGATAATGACACCCTGATTTTGCCTGGGTGATAGAAGCTGAACTGGGGCCTTTGGAGACGGGTGTTTTGATTCTGTCACTTCTTTATCAAAAGCCATGAAAAAACGGTGACAGTAAAGAAACCCACTCTCTGGATAAGGTTCACTACCCACAGGACCTCAGTCACAGTGCCAACACTTTCTTCTCTGATGTTGATCTGAAAGTCTTTGCATACCTAGCAGTTCCTCAGCCTATAAAAGGGTTAAATTTGGATAAACTCCTTAAGTTCATTTAATACTCTCAGCATACTGCGCATCCTGGCTCACGCACAGCGCACTGGACCATCTTGGTGGTTGCCTTCGTGATCATGCAATTGGCTGGAAGATGTAGCTAGAGGCATTTCTCCACCCTTGGAGCACAGGTAGCATACACTGCCAGCTAATTCAAAATTCAAGGTGCCTTCTACTGAGTGTGCCTTACTTTTGTGCCATCCAAAAAGTCCTCGGTTTTAAGTTGAGCTAGTATAAGCAGGGACTGTCAGCACTACTGCTGCAAGCAGTCACACTAGCTGGATTATAAACTGATCATCACACCAGATTCTAATACAAGATATTCCATGTGCCTGGCTCTGTGTCTTGTTCAAGATGCCTGCTGGCCTCTGAGCTACAGTCACTATGACCACGCACCTGACACTTCCAAAAAGATAGCCGAAATGAAAACAACTCCCTCCTGAAGCAGTTTTCTCTCCCAATGCCATACATAGGGGTGC